CGGCAGTAGTGTGGTGTGATGCGAGGTTAGGATGAGATTAGAGCAAATGTTTAAGAATTCTTTTTTTTCTACTTATTAGATCTATGTAATATAAACATAATATTTCTGTCATCATATGAGTAAGTAACCTCACTGTATTACTTTGCAGTGCTCCACCAGATACTGATATACCACCATCGCCGCCTACATCACAACCCTTCATTCAAGGGTGGGTATAGCTAGCTTGCTACCTTACCTTATGCTCTGTACTCTGCACATGGTGTCATTCACATATTCTGGAAAGCATATTCATAGCTCCTTGTCTAGTTAACCTCTTTCATTGTAAATTCTCAATCATACCTAAAAAACCTCTTGTCTGTCAAACTCACTGGTTTATTTTTTATTTCCCATGTTTGAAGCATAGAATTTTGCACATGTACAGATATCTCCTCATAATTTGAAATTATTTTATGTTGCCATGTTATACAATGTCGCAGTGTGACATCATTTTTGCCAACCATGGAATATATGATAAAAAAGTGTTCCTCACTGATCAGTGGGTTACTTTATGTTAGCTGGAATTTAGTTTTATTGAAAACCACTATTAAGATTGACAAATGTAATTTATTATTATCACTACTGTAAAAGCATTAATTTTTCACTGGGATGTACTTTTGCAAATTGGCAAACTACAAGTGAATATTTAGTCTTCTACAGTACTGTGACTCTAATATAAACTTGATATTCCAAGAGTCACCAAATTTCTTGGATATTATTATATACTAATCCTTCAATTGCATGAATTTCATGCAGAATGTCAACTCCCCCCCCCCCCTCATCATATGTTAAAAATTTACATTTGTGTACGGTATTCTGTAGTGTTTTCAGATCAGATAGACGACCCGGTGAGGAAACAGACCCGACAGCTAAGCAGCTGACTAAACAAATACATACATTGAAGAAAAAGTTACGACAGTTTGAAGCCAATTTTGAAACAGTAAATGGATATAAGGTACAGAGACGAACAGAAACCAATTTTTCTGGGATCTGCCCACATCGGTCGTTGGAACTCATCAGTGTACCTGGTAGATCGGCTGGTCATCTGCATTTCCCGTTATTATTGATTCACTTTGAAAACCCATATGAGCAATTAGTGTGGCTATAAAATATTAGTACCAGTGATGACAATTGTAATAAAGTACATGATTTTAGAAACATACTGTGGTATTAAATTTTTATTATAACGATGAAAGGTCACTAATTGTTATGTCCACTGTTTATTTCAGCCTTCCCATTCAGATAAAGCTGCTCGTCCTGAAATAAAAAAGATGATGTTGGAATTATCTAAAGCAAAAAAACAATTACGAGGTATGTAAAAATGTTTCGTCATGGCAATAATTTCAAAAAGAGGAGGGTAGTATTAACCATTTTTTTCTCTGTGTTACTGCCTGAAAGAGACATAAGCCTGCCCAAACCCACCACCCGCTCTCTCTATTTGCATTTTGCTCCATATATTCAGTGTAAATTTTTGATTCCCAAAGATCAATGCAGTTAAGCTTTGCAAGGTTCCTACCAAAAAACATTTTTTTTTTTTTTGTAAATGACGGTAACATGAATTGCTAAAATAATCCACCGGGGAAAGCTTGCTGGACATTTCCCTGTTCTTGTATTGATGCGTTTTGCTCAACTTCAAGATTTGTTCTCACTGCTGAATTGGTTTGATCACATGTTGCATGCTTTAAATATTATTAAATTGTGCACTAATTGCTGTCAACCTTTTCTGCCCAATGTGACCAAAATGCTTACTTTCTGGTGATTTGATGAGTTAAATAGGATTGGATGGGGTGAGATGGATAGATGTGATGGCATATTGGATGGAATGTGATAGATGGGGTAGGACGGGATAGATGGGATGAGAAAGGATATATGGGCTGGTATGAGAAAGGGGATGATACTGGATATGAGGGTTGAGGTGAAATAAATGGGATGTGAAAGGATATATGGGTTGGTATGAGATGGGATGAGAATGCATATGAGGGTTGAGGTGAAATAAATGGGGATGGATAAGATGTAATAGGATAGACAGAATGGGGTTATATAAATGAGGTAAGACAAGATGAATGGGATAGGGAGAAATAGATGGGATAGGATAATTGGGATGTGACAGAATATATGATATAAGGTGAGATATAGGACAGGATAGAACAGGATGGGTGGGCGACACAGGATAGCTTAAATGGTATGAGATGAATGGGATGGATAGAACACGATGGGATAAATTGGGTAAGAGGGGAGACGAAATGAGGTGAGATCGATTTAATTGGATAGGATAAATGGGTGGGACAGAATAGATGGAATGCAGTGAGACAGATTGGATGAGGT